ACATACATACATCTCTCACTCACTCACTCACTCACCCATTGACCCGTCCATAACATACCCGACGCGCCGACTAAGAGGTTTTTTTTTTTACAAAAAAATAACTCAAAAACAGAGGGAAAATGTTTGCAATGTTGACGTCATCTATGCGTCTGTTCTCTAATAGATCATAGGTGAAAACGTCAAATCGAAATGCGAAAATAACTTGACTTATTATATAAAGATCCGTAAAATTATATAGTTCGTTGAAATCATGAGTATGTCGTAGTGTTCCTTTTTTTTATTTTTTTTTTATTGCAATAACAAATCAACAAAATACAAGAATACAAAAGAATTTCCTACTCACAATAGTCAACAGACAATACCTTTTGCACTAAATAATTAATATAAACTAGTAGTAATCAGAGATTATGAAAGTGCGTTCGACACTCTCACTTTAATATGTATATACCGTGAATAAATGATTTCACTAGCTGACTTTCAACCTTTGTCTATTGCTAAAATCAACATTTTTCAGCAACAACCGAGGTTTTACAGTCAGATATAGATATGCATAGTGTCAAAGTCCATGCTAGTGAAGAGGTCACGATTTGTTGATACGTTGCGTGACGCCGTCAGTTTCTGTAGACTCTCAAGTTTCATAGAATATTTAAATTACGTACATTATTCGAAGCTAGCATTTGCAATCGCGCGCTCGTTTCGCGTGCCCGTTTATCGTAAACAAACACCGTGCGACTAATTCGAGTATTTCCCCTGATGAATAAAGTAGTCTTATGGATCTTGCCTTCAAAGTACCGTTCCACCGATTCCAAACAATAAAATTTCGGCCTGTAACCGTGCACAGAGCAACCAACCCTGGAAAGCCACAGGTCAAAATCAGGTTTGCGTTCCACTTCGTCGAACGCAATTACTGACAGAGAATGCAATTTAACAATTCATATAAAAAAAACTGACTATTCGATAATTACTTAGCTTTCTCAATAAAGAAACCACTTATACTAAAGTAGTTACACTAGTTTTCTGACAATATTACTTACAAACAAGATGCACTGTTGCTATGGTCACCTATTTTTCCACGTAGATGATGATGCTTGTTGACCAATGACTGGGCATTTGTATGATACTTAACATCCGGAAGATATGATTGATGTAATTTAATCATAAAGATAAAAAGTTGATAAAGAGTTGTGTATTGATCCATTAAAATATAAATGCTGGAAAGCGTTGGGAACTGTTGCTAGTCACCTTAATGATGTCTTATGGAATTGTTATTTTTCAGGATGAAGACATTAATAGATGATCACGCAAGTGATGCCGAAGCCATGTTACAAGATTTGGACTCCAACTCCTTCCCAGAAGTCATCCTTCAACTGATCACACTGAAAAGGTAATCTTGTTTATTTGATAGCGGGGCTCCGGCGGCCGTAAGGGCCGCCAAGCAGGGCCCAATACTCGTATAGGAAAGAAAAGGAAAACCATGAATAAATTTTCTCATGATTATCATGGCTAGCGGTATTGCTCGTGGGCGCGAAGGCCTCGACGGCGACGACGGACTCGCGCAAGATGGCGGCCATACTTCAGCTAATAGGTTGACAGAGACATGCAGCCACTTCTTTGATACTGACCATCCATGTTATGGTCAATTGGCGCCTGTCAAAACAAGGTATCTGCCGACCAATTGCTAATGTTTATTGGATCAATGGCTCATCGCAGGTTAACTTCTTGTAAACGGGGCCGGGTTGTTTGGAACCCGGTTAACGCTAATCCAGGCTTGAAAGTTAACCAAAGTATACATTTTTTTTTTTGTTTACAAATGTTTTTCACTGCTTTTGTTTGTGTAGTTTGAGATTGTTCAAACTCAAAACAGAAGGCCAAACAACATAAACAGAAAACCTCACCGCAAAGTTACAAAACTCAAATCAAAATTCTCGCTTTGANTGGAACCCGGTTAACGCTAATCCAGGCTTGAAAGTTAACCAAAGTATACTTTTTTTTTTTGTTTACAAATGTTTTTCACTGCTTTTGTTTGTGTAGTTTGAGATTGTTCAAACTCTAAACAGAAGGCCAAACAACATAAACAGAAAACCACACCGCAAAGTTACAAAACTCAAATCAAAATTCTCGCTTTGAACAACCCGACTCAGGAGCTCCGCTTTTCATCATCATAATTCCTTATATAGCTCCCAGTGGGACATAGGGCCGCAGCTCCGCTTTTAGGATTGGCTCAATCTATATATTATACAAGTTACTTACAAGGGAAGAAGATTGTCGCAGTCATAATCCGGTTTAAAAACATCGATTGAGCCCATAGGTCTTGATCAGATGCTTCTTAAACGCATAGCTATAGGTACATCTTCCAAAGAGGCCACGGCAATCAGTGGCAATGTTACAGTTACCTCCAGTAACAAGCGAAATGGATCTTACAGTGTGTTTTTTGTATGGGTTAAGAACGAACTAAATACATAGCCATAATGAATACAGAATTCTGATTTTAATTACACTCGGACCTCTCCACAACGGTCACCTTGGGGACAGAGGAAAGTGGCTGAAATTGTAGAGAGGTGGCCGTTATGGGGAGGTAGGGGTGAAATATGACACTTGCTTTTTTCAGGATTACAACACTTTTATCTTAAATGCTTATTGTAGCATAGTCCAGTTCTGGCCCTCTCTCTCTATGTCATGCAATGCTAGCACTTATCAAAATATCAATAAAACAGAAACTGAACAGGAACAGAAACAAAGACCAACGACGTACGGAACGAATCATGTTTTGTGACATTTTACAATATAANCGAGTATTTTGGACGAACTTTCAGCTGTTTGTCTTGCTGTTTCTCCAAGCAGCCAATCACGTTCGCAAATCTTGCCAGTTTGTCGAATTTCATACAAATTTGCCTTAAACAACTGTTCAGTTAAAGAGGACTCTCTCTCCGCTACGTCCCGTCGGTATTATTCTATGTAAAACCTTGACAATGCTGTTAGTCAAAGACTATCTCTCTTTTAGTAATTTTTCCATGTTTCATACTTTGTATACTGGCAGGAAACTAGAAGAAAAAAAACTAAAGTGCAAGCAAGCCATAGATGCAGCTGAGAAAATTAAGAAGGAAAATATCCTAATTAAAAATGAGGTAAGGTAACCTAGTTCTACTGTTCAGTTGTATAAATGATTTTGGTGAATTGCAGCTGCGTTGTCACATTGTGAATTGTTTTAGCTGCCATTTTTGGTGTACGAACGTCATTTCAACATACTATTTAATACGTTAGGGAACTTACAGGGAAATGGAGCTGACAAAAACTAAGGAGCATCTTAAAATGGCAGAGGAAGATATCAGAAGACTAGAAGACGAAAATGCTGTAAGTTCCATGGGCTTTGGCAACGATGACGGTAGCAAAATTCTGTGCTCAACTATCAATTAGTTGTTCTGTATATTATACACTGAGTAGTTTGTACTTTCATGTTATAATTTTCTTAAGAAAATATCAGCCAAATATTTAATAGTGGTTTTTAACACCCCTTTCCGTAGAATGCCTATATATTGATACAAGATACTAAAAAGTGCCAGTGCCGGAGACGTTCTTTGAAAACATGCCAACAAATGGTTGCATAACTCATTCTTGACATGCTGCTTTATTTGCTTTCTTGTTAGTTTATTATCACGAGAATAAGAGTCACTGGATGGTCAGTTTTACTACNATCTTGAATGCCAGAGTTATAAAAAAAAGTTGACAGCCATGGAGAAAGCATTTGCATCCCCAAGTCCAAGAAGCAGTGCCATTGGTCGCCTTATACGAGAAAGGTGTGCAGTTTATGACATTAAGTTATGAATGATAATGAAATTGTCTGGGTAGAAATAAATTTAATGGGACCTTAAGAAAGCGTTACATACGTAGAGGCTATAATCTCTTGATTGCTGGTGTTGAAATTGTTTAGTTTGTGCCATCAAGAAGGCAGATACTGTAACTTGGTTCAGCAATTATCACCTAACGGTTTGGTTGTTTATTAAAACCACCAAGTAATGGAAGACCTAGAAGGCTCACAGCTTTATATCCTCTTGCAGCCTGGAGATTTTCCAGCCTACTTACCTTGAAATAATTCTGCCAAGACTGTAATGTCTTTCATTCTTGCTACTTCTATTCAGAATATCTTTAACATATTTAGTATGGTCAAAATAATTATTAACTCTTTTTCAGTCAAACATTAAAATCGCGTTCCAAGGCCCCTTGTCAATCATAGCCGACATTTTCTACAATCTATCATCAAAAATCTTTGCGTATATCGGGATTCGGCAAATTGTATGCTAGAAGTAGGGTCAACATTAACAAAACACGAACCAGACAATCTTGGTCTTTACATTGTGTGATAATGTCTCCATCTATGTTATCTGTAGTCCAGCACCAGTGGATATTAAGAGGCCAAGGCTGAGCTCTCCTGCTGATGATTCAGCTGAGGATTCAGAAAATATTGTCATAGCCGAGACACCATCCCCAAAGCCTAGAGCTCCAGGGGGAAGAAGTGAACTAAAGAGCATTGCAGAAGAGTAAGAGCATAGTTATTATCCCTCCATCTTCTTCTCTTCCTTTCTTTTTATATTCCTTCCTACATGTGAACCTATCAATTAACGATTGGTTCTCAGTATTTGTTGTGACTTTCTTTCATGAATGTCAACTTGAAATTTTTTGTCTCTTCTTTTTGGCATTGAGCTCTGGTTATTAACTACTTATTGTTATATGGCTGTGTCTCACAAGGACTGGGAACTACTGAATTCACGAATTTGATTGGCTGAAATCGATTTTGACCGCGGTCTAGATTTTCCCATCTAGATCGGTTACATTTTGCGGTGAAAAAGTTGCAAACTGAACTAAAAGAATAGTGACAATTTTCTTCTAAACATATGAGTGGAGGTGCCAAAAAGCCTGATGAGAAAAAAAGTAAAGAGGGAGCAAACTTTGCAGATTTAAGTTCAGCTCATCGCCGTTCACAAGCAAAATCAGCCAGCTAGTATAAGCCATAGTTACATTAAAGGAATTAAATTTTTCTTGTTTGCCATATAATAAACATCTTATTAACCGAGCTTAGTCTGTCTGTATGGGAGAATCTTGACCTCGGTCGTGTGTACAAACCTCGCTGCGTTCGACCCTCAAAGTTAAATTAGTTCAAGTGGTGTTTCTGGCACTCTAGTTTATACTATTATATGGCTGTGAGATTGAAACAATTCTACACCATTTGGAAGCTAATTGAAAATCGATTTCTCAGTACAGATATATCCACATGTCAAGATGCATCGAGTAGCTTGAGACCTATTTTGTGTTTTACCCTAGCTATCGTTACATCGACACACTCTCCATCTAACTCTCCAATACGTCAGTCTATAGGTTCCTAAGTTTATCTCCAAGGATGTTGATACTGTCTTCATGTGTAGCCTATGCGCTATACAACTCGTTGAGTTTTGCCAGACA